TCTCTCTCTCTCTCTCTCTCTCTCTCTCTCTCTCTCTCTCTCTCTCTCTCTCTCTCTCTCTCTCTCTCTCTCTCTCTCTCTCTCTCTCTCTCTCTCTCTCTTCCACCCCTCTCCTTCTCTTTCGCTCAAAAACTCCCCCTCTTCCCCTCCCAATCTCTCTTGCCGGCGTCAACGCGAGATGAAAGAAATCATACATTTTTCAATCCAGAACGGCTTCCGTGTCCCCTCTTCCATCCCTTATTTTAATGTGATCCCTTCCTTCTCTATGTGTGTCGAAATTATACTACTTCTTACAGTATATGCACGTATCATCATGTTCCTTCTTATCAGAAGTAGATAATAGTAATAATTCCCAAATATCTACTTCTGTTCTTATACAGCTTGCGAATTAATTACAGTTGCATGGTCCCTGTCACGAAACGCTTATCCAACAATTCGAGTTACAAACGCAGTTTTGAAATCAATCTGCCGGTAACTTGGCTTTTTAACATTTATTTGCCATTTTACCATTAAAATGCAGAACACTTGTCTCCGGGCGGTGACAGCAAGAGAGCCATCTTCGCCTCATAGTCAGATTTTGGTTTTGGAGAGAAATGAAATTATCATTATATATACCTAATAATCTTATGTATACATGTAAATAACCCAAAAATGTATGCAAAAATAATAGAACAAAAGTATTCATCTATCTTACGTGTGATTTATTTCTTGAGCCGTAAATTTTTTTTCTATCGTCATTTATCAATTAATTCAAGAAATTGTGTCGTCCGTATGGGAAGGAACTTGCTGCCGCAGTAATTAAAATAACAACTAACGAATCAAGCCCAAACGGATTCCCATATATAGAATAAATATAGAATTCTATTCCACATATATGATATTCCTTATGTATCCGGTATGATATCCCGCTTGCTATATACGGCTGATGGGAATCCTGGACTACTCCCGTATCAAACGGTAGGTGGCAGCAGTAGGTTTGTACCAGAGCACATATCACATGATATATGTGCTCTGTTCGTACGTACACACGACTCAGTAAACTGTATATAACAACATCACTATAAATAGTGGAATATATATACAGTCTATATTATGACACTCCTAATAACATACATATATATATATATTATACACAGCTCACTAGAACAGACCATATATATATAATATTCCATAAACACGTATAGATCTATGGTACACGCGCACACACCCACGCGCACAGACGCACGTGCGTCCATGCACCCACGCACACAGTCAGTAGAACCCACACACGCACACACAGGGGCATGCAAAAACGCGCACGCACAACCAACGCGCGCACGCCCACGTGTGCGCACACACGCACAACCAACGCGCGCACGCCCACGTGTGCGCACACACGCTCTCCCAGGCCCACGCCCACACACAATACCACATGCACGTACCCACGTGCCGCTACGAGCACGCACGCCCACGCGCGTGCGCGTTCAAGTATACACATGCCCGCGCGCGCGCACTAGCGAGTTTATGCACGTGCACGCACACTCACCGTGGTATCGAATGCCCTTAAAATCACATTATGTGAACCTGCGATAGTTACAGATGCTATAGTTAATTAAAATGTACGCGTGTACATTGCAAGGTTATTATTTCTCTAACAATACGGAGGAGATCATGATTCTTGGTTAGCTCGTGCCATTGAATGTCACGTAAAACACAATACCGTTATTACCGTGAGAAAGATTCCGTGTTATAAACAAATGCGATGATGCTGACCAACCTGTGATTCAACCTCCAGATATCCTTCTTTCTTAAATGCTCAGTTTAATATGCAACCACCGATCTTATGATCACTGATCGTAAAGCTTCATCATAATAATGTTACTATGCTTTTGATGAAGCCAGTAGAGTCGGCAAGTCGATTTTGCGTTGAAAAATCAATGCTTTGTACAGGTTCTGATAACACTCCAGCTATAGGAACCCTCAATTATGCTAGCTTGGGGCATGTTTCAGTGGAGGTGATCGAAGGAAAGGTGATTTCGAATAGATGGAAAAACACGACTGCATTGGCCATCAATCTATTGGAAGTAAGTAGTAAAATTACATGGTTAGGTTTATATACTGTATTCAACAAATAAAATTCGAACATTAACTTGATTACGATGCAGAAATACAATAATTTCACACTGCATATGCATGATCATGACACTACAGAAAGAATCAGTGTTTGAGGTGCGTATACATACACACACGCATACACGCACACGCGCGCGTGCACGCACGCACGCACGCACGCACGCACTCTCTCTCTTTCTCTCTCTCTCTCTCTCTCTCTCTCTCTCACGCACGCACGCACACACACAATGTAAAGTGTTGTATGGGAAGACAAATATAAAGGGTAAAACAGTATACACCGCCAACTAGACATTCAGTAAGCGAAATACGAAAAATCAGGTGCTAATATGAATTAAGTGAGTCTTTTATTATTATAACTAGCGGGATACCCGGCGTTGCCGGGGGAAATCAGTGGCATTACTCAGTTGGTGACCGCTTGGTTAAAAGGAAAATACCCCAAAAAATCTAACTATCTATCTATCCATGCATCCATCCATGCATCCATCCCATTCCATGCCATGCCATCCCATCCCATCGCACCCATTCCCATGCCATCGCACCGCATCCCATCCCATGCTATGCCATGCCATGCCATTCCATCCCATGCCATCCCATGCCATCCCAAACAGTAAAAAATAATAAGAAATCAAAAGATAAAAGACATTAAATATAAAAAATATAAAGTAAAAAGTAAAAAAGTAAAACTAATACATACTAAAGAGGTAGGTAAAGGGAAGAAAAAAGAAAAAAGGGGAAAATAAGTTTCCCAGTTTGGACTCGAACCCGGAAAACCGGTGTAGGCGACAGATGTTCTAGCGATTAGGCTACTGCGCCCTTTAGGGTATAACCATGGATTCACACGTACGTGATGTTAATCTGTACACTAATGCCATCTATTGATGAATAGAATTGTTATAAATTTTTAACTTTTTAACTTTTTTAAATTTACAAAAATGTGTAGTAATGAAAGTTTTGGTGTTTTGCGCGCTGACTGTAGGAATTGTGCTGTTGGTTAAACTCGGGAGTTTTAGGGAATGATGATTGTTGTATGTCAAAAACCTCATCAATCTCATAATGAAATGAAAATCCTTTATCAGAAATACGCCAAACAAGAGGAGTGAGTGCTGCTCGTGTAGAAAATTAACCTATAGCAAAGTCAATTAGTGGCATTAACAGCTTATACAAAAGCTGGTACTTATCCTGTTGATAATTATCGACCATAGAGAAAAACTGTAGAAATGCGGAGAGATAACGTTGCGTATATAGCAAGTATACATCTATACACATGTAACTGTTAGAAACCGCTGAATACTGGTAAAGTATGATAAAGTATTATAAGCAGTCATAGAGCCTGACAGGCTTAGTATAACTAGCTATATCTAACAGTGATTATATTCTGTATATTCTGGCGAAGTATAGACCCTATATATAGCATTTGTTTGGTAATGACTTATATATTTCTAATGACTAAGCTTAATGACTAAGCTATAGAAATATATAAATAGTCTATTTATATATCTCTGTAGTTTTATCAAACAGGTGGCACTGGTCTATAGCCACTCTATAACATTAAACGATAACTTTCTTTTTTGTATTCGCGCAATAGGTATAATTATATAATAAATGCCAATTAAACACACACATTTCCTTAATTGCTACATTTTTTCACTGCAATATGCGTACAATATACAGCGTAGAGAGTCGTCAATTTTCAAGTAAAATAATAAGACATATTTATGATATATATACATACATACATACTTACATACGCGTACACACACACACACGCACGCGCGCGCACGCACGCACGCACGCACGCACGCATGCACGCACACACACACGTATATATATATATATAGGTGCAGAGATGTGGTAAATCTTACCGCCTATCGCTTCCATTCCAGTGTTCCATTCATGGAAGCAGAGTAACGCATATGTGTTTACTCACATAGACTGAAAATCCGGACGTTTCAATGTATTCACAAGTATGATTGGCCAGGAACGAGCCACTATAGCTGCCA